ATACCCAGTGGGAAGTGTGCAGGAGGCAACTGATTGATGTTTTTGTCTCATCGATGTTTCTAACTCTCTATCCCTCTCTCTTTCTCTGTAAAAAAAAAAAATCAATAAAATGTATTTAAAATAAAAAAATAAAATAAAAAAATTAGGGTCCTCTTATTGCCTTCTTGGGGCACTACCATTACCTGGAGTGCGCAGCACCACACAAGACCCCATGACAACGTTAAGGGTTTGCTTGTTTGTTCGTTTATTTTTATTTGTTTTTAATATATTGTTATTGATTTCAGAGAGGAAGGGAGAGGGAGAGAGTGATAGAAACATCAATGATGAGAGAGAGCCATTGATTGGCTGCCTCCTGCCCGCCCCCTACTGGGGACCAAGCCTGCAACCAGTGCACTTGGCTCTTGACTGGAAAGAACCTGGGACCCTTCAGTCTGCAGGCCGACACTCTATCCATTGAGCCACACCAGCCTGGGGGAACGTTAAGGATTTAGAGCTGCCTGTGGAACTGGGGGGCCCCGGAAGCAAGGCTGACCCACTGCCCCTGTTTCCCCAGGACGCAGCACTCAGTGCTCAAACCAGAATGTCCCAGGCAAGTCCGGGTGAGTTGGTCACCTTATGGCCAAGGCAGGAGGCAGACTTGCTCTGGGCGTGAGGACCACACAGGCCCGGTGCTGGCTGCCCAGGATGGGAGGCCTTGTGGGCCGGTCAGTGGGCCCTCCCAGAGACCCCTGCTTGCTGAGTCCGCCTGACACCTGCCCAAACCTGTGGGGCTGGATTCCAGGCAGCCCTGCAGACACCCTAGAGCAGTGGTTCTCAACCTTCCTAAGGCCGCGACCCTTTAACACAGCTCCTCATGTTGTGGTGACCCCCAATTTCATTGTTACAAATTGAACATAATTAGAGCATAGTGATTCATCACAAAAACAATATGTAATTATATATGTGTTTTCCGATGGTCTTAGGCGACCCCTGTGAAAAGGTCGTTCGGCCCCCAAAGGGGTCGCGACCCACAGGTTGAGAACCGCTGCCCTAGAGGGAGCCTACTGAAAGCTTGCTTCTATTTGCCTTTCTTCTCAGACACCCCCACTCCCCATACAATGTGAGGCCTGGGAAGCTGGAGGAGCTGGACAAACCCACCCCGAGATTCCCTGTGTCCATCACAGCCTGCTGTCATCAGCACCCCCCTCCCCCAGTTCTCAGGCATCCAGAGTCAGCCCCACTTACTAGACAGCACTTCCCACGGCCCTAGGGGGTGGTACGAGACAGGTACCAGGGGTAGAGGAAGCCCCAACCACAGTAGCTCACTTGCAGACCCACCGATGAGCTCTAGCCTCAGCCTCCCCGTTTTAGGGGTTCTTAAGCTTTTTTGGGTCAACCATCCCTTTGCAAATCTGATGAAAGTATAAACCTCTCTTAAACTATCCTAAAGAGCAGTGCACCAATCTGAAATTAGAATCATTTATAGCCCTGGCTGGGTGGCTCAGTTGGTTGGAGCACTGTCCAGATGCGCCAGGGTTTGATATCTAGTCAGAGCACATACAGGAGTCGCTAATGATGCGTGAATGGGTGGGACAGTGGTAGATGTTTCTCTCTCTCTCTTCCTGTCTCTAAAATAAATTTAAAAAAAAATTTTTTTTAAAAAATATATTTTATTGATTTTTTACAGAGAGGAAGGGAGAGGGGATAGAGAGTTAGAAACATCGATCAGCTGCCTCTTGCACACCTCCTACTGGGGATGTGCCTGCAACCAAGGTACATGCCCTTGGCCAGAATCAAACCTGTGACCCTTCAGTCCGCAGGCTGACGCTCTATCCACTGAGCCAAACCGGTTAGGGCAAATTTTAAAATTTTTAAATAATTATTTATAAATAGAGCCCCATTGAGCAGATGAGGAAGCACCCAGCGCCCTCCCCTCCCCCAGGGTTGTAGAGTGGTGCAGGGACCAGGTGTGTGGGGGTACTCCCAGCCCTCCAGGGCACCTGTTGAAGGGCACTTCCTCCCAGGTGGTCAGGCCTCCGGTCTTCCTCAGGAGGCATGGAAGCGAGAGGCTCCCCCAGGCGCGGGCTGCCTTTGAGAGTCCTCACAACCATCTTGTTAAGTTGGAATTTTCATCAGCCCCCCCCCCTTTTACACAATAATTCTCAATTCTTAGCACCCAGGGAGGGGCTTAAGAGAGTTCACGACCCCCCCCCCCCCCGCAAATGAGGGGCTCATGTTTGTGGATCTCAGGAGGTTTCTCAAACAGGTCTTTGACCCAAGGAGGTTAAGGACCTTGACTTTCCAAGATCTGTCCAGGTGGGGTAGGGCAGGGTTTGAGCCATGGTCTGTGACTCCCAGGCTGCCCTCCACAAGGGGAGTGCCAGGGCTCCAAGGGGGATGAGGAAGAGGGTCTTTCTTTCTTTTTTTCCTTTTTTTTTTTTGGAGTCAAATCTATAAATCCATTGCGAAATTTGAGTTCATTAAGATTTATCCCCATATTTTCTTCTGAAAGTTATAGTTTTACACCTTACATTTAGGTTGTTGTTCCATTTCAAGTTCATTTTTGTATATGGAGTTAGATAGGGTTCCAACTTCGAGACTTTTCTTTTTCTATTGAAAGATCTTGGCATCCTTGTCTAAAATCAATTGTACATCAATATTTTGGTTTATTTGTGGACATATAATGGTACCCTTTGTGCTACAGAGCTGGCCTCATGACTTCCATAAAATCTAGAGAGACTATATACACAGCTTTTGACTGGTTAGTTCTTCATGTCATCAATCTCGATAACACATTATGAGAGCTACTAATATAAAAATCATTTGACCGTGCTTAAAGAAATACTAACAGCCCTAGCCGGTTTGGCTCAGTGGGTAGAGCGTCAGCCTGCGGACTGAAGGGTCCTGGGTTCGATTCCGGACAAGGGCACATGCCCAGGTTGTGGGCTCCATCCCCAGTAGGGGGCATGCAGGAGCCAGCCAATCAATGATTCTCTTTCATCATTGATGTTTCTCTCTCTCCCTCTCCCTTCCTCTCTGAAAACATTTAAAAATATATATAAAAAGAAATACTAAAATATGATATTTGTAGGTAAAGAGCTATAATTTTTGTCTTTCCTCTGCCAGCAGAAATAGCAGGTTGAGCTATTGTGTATTGTGTGTGTGTGTGTGTGTGTGTGTGTGTGTGTGTGTGTGTGTGTGTTTATTTACCTCCAGCCTGGCTGGTGTGGCTCAGTGATTGAGTGTCGACTCATGAACCAGGAGGTCACGGCTTGATTCCCCATCAGGGCGCAGGCGGGGGTGTGGGCTGGATCCCCAGTAGGGGGCATGCAGGAGGCAGCCGGTCAATGATTCTCATCATTGATGTTTCTATCAGAGCGTCTTTTACTTGAGGATGGTGAGGCAGGGTTCAAAGAAACCCGAGTCACCTGGGCCTCACCCCTGTTGCCTTTCTTTGTGGAATCTCACCCAGAGAAATCACTCACTTCCCAGGGGCATGGGAGGGGTCCTGGGCGTCAGCTCCACCCGGTGCTCTGTCCCTGCCTCTCTCCTTTCACTCCAGGCCCCGAGGGCTCCTCCCCCAGCCCACAACGGGCTCTTTATCCCCGGGCCTCCAGAGACTGCAGCCTGGCCCTCGGTTTCAGTGGAGGGGGTGGAGAGGGCATACCTGGGCTGAGGTAGAAGCGAGGGGGTGGTTTTCTAGGCCGTTGCCTGGACGATGCCACCTGAGCTGGGCGCCAGGCACCTGTCGCCTAGGAAACGGTGCGGGCGGGGCCCCTCCCCCGGGAGCCGCCAGGGCCCTGGGCTGGGACAGGAGGCAGATCGAATTCCGGAGAGTCCTAGCGCGGGGTAGGGGCGGGTGGGGGTTCTCGATACTGGAAAAGCTGGGGTACCCTTGCATCATCATGAAATGAATCAGCCCGGAAGAGCGAAGACGGCGAGGGAGGGGTGGCTGGGGTGGAGGAGGTTCAGGAAGGCGGGCTGAGCCCCCAACTCTCCCACTTCTTTGTCCTGAGCCAACTGTGACATTGTGAGCTCCATGTCTTCTCCCTGAGGCTCACCATTTCTTCCTTCCTTCCTTCCTTCCTTCCTTCCTTCCTTCCTTCCTTCCTTCCTTCCTTCCTTTCTTCTTCCTTCTCTCTCTCTCT